AACATACCCTCTAGTTTGGATTCAAATCGAACAAAATTGACGTCGCCTACTCTTTTGAATTCATCCAACATCATATTCGGGGTCGAAAAATTTAAAGTGGGTAATTCACTCTCAGCCCACAAACGAACCTCATAAAGCTAGAAAATGAGCAACAGGAGGAACATAAGAAGCTCCCTCCTGGGGGAACCCAATCATCTTATTTTCTATCATAATTTTAATCTTCCCACCATTTCTCTTTTAGTTTTGCATTATCTGAATATTTTTTAAAATAGTTTGGCTTTCACAATCATAACATTCTCATTAGGAGTGAATTCCATCGCTTACAAGCAAGGAAAATGAAGGCAAGAAACAGAAGAAGAGAAAAGATATCAGGGATGATGGAATCGTAAAACTCTCTGACATCCTCTTTATAGAAGCGTAGGCGTCATAAAACTCTCTGAAATTCTCTTTATAGACAGGGAGGTCATAACGTTATCAATATGTCCTGTCAACATATTTATCATCAAATTAAACAAAAGTATTATTCTATTGTTCTTTTGATGGATTCCTGCCAAAGAGATAGTAAAATTGAGAAATTCAATTTGTGCAACATAACCTCATTAAATCGAGTTCAACTTTTCGACGCCTAAATGATCAAATAGATTGAAAAGATTGAATTCACCCTAGCAAGTCAAATTGACTTTGTTAATGCACCTAATGATCAAATAGATTGAAAAGACACACGTAACACACTTTTAAGTACTTTGTTACTTAGTTTATTCTGTAGTTTAGTCCATATATTGCATGATATACTTTCTATTTCTTGAGTCAGGAGGGCACTTCAGTGAATTTTTCCAAAAAATATTCTTGGAAGTGCCAATCCGCTTAATGATCATGCCATTAAGAGCAATAAGACACTAAGGACGTTTTGGCTACCCACTTTGGTCTCTTTCTCTTCACTCATCCTCTTCTCACACAGCTCTTTCCTAAGAAGCATAACCCACAGACATATTAAGATCCAATAATATATATAATATGGGACAATCAACAAAGTGTTCTCATAAATGGTTACTTTAGGAGTTGTTTGGTAAACAAGCTTATCGGTGTACTATAAACAAATTGCATGAATTTAAAAGAAAAATTAAGGTTTGATTTTGAGTAAAATAAATGCATTGTGAATTATGATATATTTAGAGGGTGCTTGGCTACAAAGTCGGATTTACGTTAAGAACTATTTAACAAATTTAGATTTCAGGCAAGCTCGTGACAGAAGCGAAGATCGCAAACAACGACAACTTAAATCCATTAAACCACTCTCTTTGAGATTTGTTAAATTCGAATTTGCAGACGGAATGGTTGAAGAGAAGATTGAACATGAATAAATTCAGTTTAACAGAGAGTATTCATTTTTTTTATGTTTGGCTGGATTCAAGTTAAATTCATGACTAAATTCTGTTAAAAATGTGCTACCAAACACCCCCTAAACTTGAATAGATACATGTGTGCATAATCAAATTATGCAGCCTCATTTTTGAGTATATTGACCTGAACCGTGTATAAAAATATTACTAGCTCAACAAAAACTTTAATTTTTGCATACCGTTCAGTTCTTAACAATTTAGATATCTAACACCAAAACTTTAATTTTTACGTACATACCATCTTATTTATGCATCAAAACATGTATATTATTTGTAAAATGACCTTTTTCCTTATGGAATACATGACAAATAAATTTTTGCAGTCTTATATAACAAAACATCTTGTTTTTCTTCATGATGGCTTTCACCTTCTCTAAATGTTCATCGCTTAATTACAAACCCAAATAGGAAGGCAAAAAGTAATGGAAACCCAACAAGCACAACTACAACTACTCCCAAGATTTCATGTTTGAATCCAATATAGTTTCCCATGAAGTTAGAATCGGGAAATTCACATACCTCAAATTTATCATCCAAATCTATAAACTGCGAAGTTAGTTCTTCATATATAGTCCATGCAACTGAGCATGTCGTGGAATACCCTCTCCACAGAAGCATTTTCTGCCAAAAAAAAGAAAATATTGAGCTATGCATTTAGCCCCACATTTAGAAATTTGGATGATAAATTGGTATTGAATTTAATATCAGTTTAGTTGTTAGATATGTAAATACTTAGGAATTAAATGGTATATTTGTAAACTTTACTTTTTTTAATTTTAAGTTTTTTCAAGAATTAGGTGCAAATATTTAGAAATTGAGCTATGCATTTTGCCCCACATCCCACCATCAAGCAAAATTTGCATGCAAACTAGCATTTTGCATAATAAATTTCAGTTTTTCACAAATAAATCCTGGCGATTTCTTTGGAAAAAAAAATCACTCTGCATTTACACCACCTAGAAGTTGTACAGTATAAAATAGGTGGCCAAAATACCTAGAAGAGTTTTTTTTTTTTTTGTATATCATATAACCTTGGTCTCTTAACAAATATTATTAGCAGTGTTCTCTTGAAGAAACCATACATCCAATGCATTTGCAGAACTTTATTTCCATGGTGCATTCACATACATACCACACAATTCTTATGTATTTACATATCTAGCAACTAAACATTCATATTTACATGCATCTAACTCAAATCTTAAACATCACTTCAAAAATACCTACATACATACCACCCGAAACATTGATATTTACAAATTAATCATCTAGGTGATTTTTATCAACTACCGCAATGATATATTAATGCGTGCCACATTCAAACTATTGAGAATTTGATAAAAATAAAAAATACGGGTTGGGATTTTACCATGAATTTTGATATTTGAGTGAGAATTTGAAAAATGGATGAAAGAGGGTGGTTGATTTGTAAATAGCGAATTTCGGGTTGTTTGTATGTAATTGCCCCTTCTTTAAAAGTGAAATACACCCTTTTCATACATAGATTTTTTTTCCCAAGGCAGGTAAAAATGTAAAAATCAAACTTTAGCTATTTACATATGTAAATACATAAGACTTGTGTGACATGTACGTGTAAATTTCCCAAACTAAAGGAAGAAAATCAAAGACCAAGTTTATCAATGCAAATTTGTAATTTTTCTTTCGAAATGGCTGAAGTCATTTAATGGAATAATTAATGCAAATATGATAATAAAATATTGCTTAAATCTGATAAAAGCAAAAAATCAACCTCATGAGAATGAAATTACCATCCATAGCTTGGAAAATGCCTTTGAAATCGAACATTTTATAAGGCAAAAGCAGGTTCAATGCTTCTACAAATATAGTAATGGCTGCATTGCCGTAGTATCCCCTGTTAATCTACAAGCCTTTATTTGGATGCCACACCACCTCAAGAGAAGAAACAGAGTATTTGTCTGCTTATATGCGGATCATACTACCCATTGACACATCAAAACGTTAAATACAGCCCGAAGCTATGTGAAAAGAAGAGGTATTTACAGAAGTACAACACAATTCCTATATATTTCATATCTAACACTTAAACTTTAATATTTACAATGAAAAGTAATGATAGAATTGGCACCTCTTTAAGCCAAAAGCATAAATGCTTCAAAGACGCCAGAAGACAAACTCATATATGCTACATTTAAAACATTTGGAGACTCCTTCCAACTATTACAGTTCAACGCAAAACCAAAAGTAGTTGAGGGAAAAAAAAAAGGGCATGGACATTCATACTACCCAATTCCTATGTGTTTACTTATCGAACGCTAAAACATTATTTTCTACATTTATGACACTCAAATCTTTCATACCTCTATATCTTTTGACAGACGTATGCATTGCAAAATCAACTGCTAACATAAATCATTTGGTTACAAGTAATCATAACACAGTAGATTAAAACAATGTTCAAAATACATTATGAACTCAAAATACAACATAGCATACATCATATATCAGTATATATTCATAAAACAAAAATAATGTGTTTAATCATTACAAACAAACAAAAATAAATCCTAATTGAAAGTGCGTCACAAAAACACTTGATAAACTGCTTTCGCATCCACCTGTCCTCTTCTCTATTGATTTTGACAGAAATGAGAGAATCAATGTTATGTTTTTAAATAAGTTATCATAAATGGTGCTAAAAAAACTTCAAGTTAGCAAACTTTTCAAGCAGTATTTGAATTAAGAACTTCTAAATCTTCAAACTAATAATGTGTTTGAGATGGCTGATGCTTGCCGTCATTAAAAATACATACAGAAGAATGAAAAATACATGCTTTCGGGTTCTCCATAAAAATATGATCATGATCCCATCAATTCCTTCTTATGAATTCCAAACTCTGTTGTGAAGCATCAATTGGTGTTGAAAATGGGAAGAATAATCTCTCAAAGCCAATGAGACTTGGCGAGTGACTGAAAGTCATCAGAAATTGAAGCAGTAGATGATGTTAATTTGAGAACGAGTAGGATGAAACATAGATGAGGATTTCTCTAGCAAGGCTCTATTGCATTATGATGAGAAATATGATAAATTTCACTCGATGAAAATATATGATCATGCTGCTAGCAAACCATAGAGTCCAAAATATAAACAAATGATACACAGCATCAGCACACTTATTTTACTAGTGGTTCAATCAAAAAAATGTATTAGACAAAGTTGCTAAAACACGATATTCACATGCTTTTTCATTTGAGGAGATATAAGAGATTATAGCAACAAGGCACCACAAATTAATGAGGTTAAAACATGAACTGTGTTAGAAATAAATTTGTAAGTACATAAGAATGAGGTGGTAAATATGTAAACGCACCTTTGGTAAAAAATCGAAGTCTAGCTGTTGGATATGTAAAAATACAAGTATTAGAGAAAAAAACCGCGCTCCTTATTGACTAATAAAAAATTAAAGTCTAAAAGAAGAAACTCTATACAAACTAATCTAAAGTCAGCAAACCTCAAAACGAATAATTAATAAAATCTAATAACAATTTAATGAGAACATATTTGTTAAGAGAAATGAAAAAAATGTCTTTCATTCAAACCTGCATTTGCAGGTAACATCTAAAAATTGTTTATCATAGCAAGAAATCCATGAACGACTAAAATTAAAATATAAAACAAGAAAAATATGATGCTGGAAAAAATTCCTATGGCCACACAAACAATCCTTGGCAAAACTCTAGCACATGTGACTACCTCTTTGCGGATGAAGCCTTGGTAGAGAAAAAACTCATCCGAGATGAAGCTGATGCCCTAGATGGTGTCTATAAAGATGAAGAAGAAAGAGGAGAAACAATCTATTAATCTTTTCTATATTGTTCTGTTGATTACAGGTACATTCATAAACAACGGAGTGGCATACTTTTAAATAGCCACAAGGCTACAAATGACATTACATAGGTAAGTAATTAAATATGAAAGCTTTAGATAGTAATAACCCTATTCATCTTTTCATACGAGAGGCGGAGCAAGGAGAGAGCAGGAGTCGTGATGATCTAAAGCAGAGGAACAAGGATATCAACAAGAGCTGAGATGATCTTTCTCATGTTTATTGATGAATCTTGATAGTGTCACAGTCGAGGTAGAGCAGAGTTGGAGGCAAACCAGAGCTCAGGGCAAGCTCCTTTGGCTTGGAGGTAAGGCAGAGGCAGATGGGAGATCTTTCAAATTCACGTTGGAAAGGAGTCTTTCGAGCTTGGACACCATTAGAGAGGAGCTACAAGCCTGTCCGCCTGCAAATTTTTTGAGGGAGACGCCAGGATTCTTGTGGGAGCGAGCAGAGCTTGTCCCAAGAAATGATAAATGCAGTCTAGTGTTCTTCCTTTTCGCTCGATTTGTGGGAACTCATTTTACACATGAAATCAACATATCCTGAAGTGTAAAGGAATATTACATTTCCAAAACATTATTCATATTACATTTTAAGCCAATACGTTTGAACTAAATGTCATTATTCGCTTGAGAAACATCGCACCAAAGAAATCTAGTCTATCTACATAATAGTTAATCATATTGAGCTTTTACCAAAAACTTTATGATCATATATATTTAGAAAACAACGGAACTGCATCTAATGTTTACCTTGATAGTGCTTGTCCCCTTTATCATTTATTTCATTTTACAACTTTTCATCAAGCGCAGATCAAAAGAATTCCCTGAGGACACCAAGACTTTGCAACACTGGAATACTCTGTTCGTTCCAGAAAAAATTCTCTGGATCCACCTTAGCCTTCACCTTCGCTAACCTCCAAAAATTTCCCTTAAAATACTTTGTCCCCCAAACTCTAGCCTCCCAATAACTCGTCACCCTCCCCTCCACATTCCTTCCCAGATCAATATCCTTATAATTATAATAAGCTGCCCTCGGCTTACTCGACACATAAGGTGTCATGAACTCATAAAACTTCCTCATCCATATCAAATGCTTCTCAGTCAAGCCTTCCTCTGTCTCAAACCATCTCATAAAATACTGCAAATTATAAATATTTCCCTTTCTGTGAGGAAAAGCTGTAGCATCCTCCTTGATCTCACTTATTCTCCCCCCCATAGGGTCAAGTATAAGCACCAACGGCTCATCATTAGCTTCTATCATAAACTTCCAAATCTCCTCTATCCTACCTTCTGCTATGGGGTGCTGAACAAAGTCTGATGTTCCCTTAAAAGAGCTATTAAACTCCGGCTTTCTGTCCAACATCATCTCCAATGTCTTCCCACTGCCGCTGTATAAGAATTGAACTGACTCAATCCAACTCATTTCAGTGCAGTCGGTGGTCTTCAAACCAAGCTCTGGAAAACTCCGCTTCGCTAAGGGGATTAACTCCTCCTGTCGGCCGAGGTAAAGTGAGTTAAAAGTAACTTGTATCGTTTTACTCCCATCCATGTCGGTGCTGGCTTGAGCTATCACGCGGATGTAGAGATTCACATCGAACTGGTGAGCCAGCTCCTGCCATCTCGCCACCACTTTTGTGGCGTTCTGTCTCAACGTCCTTCCTACGTTGAAAGCCGTCACGACTGGCGGGACGACTACGAGCTTGATTTTGAAAGCGATTATCACGCCGTATCCTGCGGAACCAGCGCCACGGATCGCCCAGAAGAGATCCTCTCCCATAGCCTTCCGATTGAACAAGCGGCCATTTACATCGACGAGCTGTGCGTCTATGATGTTGTCTACGGAGGCGCCATACTTCCGTGTTAATGTACCGATCCCGCCTGCGCTCAAATGACCGCCTACGCCAACAGTTGAGCAGAGGCCAGCTGGAAAGGCTAAAGTTTTGCTCTTTTTGGCTATGGCGTAGTATAGTTCGCCCAACGTAGCGCCGGCTTGAACCCAACCGGTCTTTGAGCTTGCGTCGATGGATATGGAGCGGAGACCGGAGAGGTCGAGGGATATGAAGGGAGTGGAGTCAGGGCCTTTGAAGGCGGAGTAAGACATGCCTTCATAGTCGTGGCCACCGCTGCGGGTGCGGAGACGGAGGCTGGCGGCGCGTGCACAGGTGATGGCAGCTTGGACTTGGGATGCGGTGGTGGCTGAGACGATGAGAGATGGTTTATAGGAGGATGGCGAGATGAGGAAGCGTTGGTTCTGGACGGAGGAGAGGAGGATGGAGTGGTAGGAAGTGGTGTTGGGGAAGGAGAGGGGATTTGAGTTATTGTTTTGATTGGTGAAGCATTGAATAAAGGATTGGATGGATGTGGTGGTAGTGGAAGAAACTGCAAGTAGGTTCGAGATCAGGATGAAGAGAACAGGGACCATGGTTTTTTCTTGGGGTAGTGAGCTTCAATGATGCATTCTGAGTATATTATATACATACATATATATATATATATATATATAATTTTATTTTTTTTTAATATTGCTTATTTCGCATTTAAATTTATCTTATTTACATTTACTGCAGCCAAACCTTAAACACTTGTTAAAAAATATACTTTGGTTGTAGGATTTTACCTAAACCCTCTCAAATGAAGTTGAAGGTCATGAATGATAAGCTATTCTTTTTGTTTTCTCACTATAAGAAACCTCGGAGAAGTGCCATAGAATTACAATACTTCTTAAATCTATTGATCAATGCTTATAGTGGGCTATTACCATTATCACTAAAGGCTCAAAATTTTTAAATAAAATAAAGTCATGTTGGATTAAAACAACACATATTAATTTACTATTTGAAATAAAGTTACTAACTATTCTTTATAATTATATGCCATATGCTTCATATATGAAAAAAAAAGGATAGACATACCATAGCTTGCTTTGTATGCGAGATTGGGCAATACATGTTAAATGCCTTTATAGGAGTTCTTAAGTAGATAAAGGGTCATCCATGATTTATACCACTTCTAATATTGTGAATTTGGTTCCTTTGTATCAAGTCCATCATTGTCCTATGTGCCACTTATCCTTGTTTGTTGATCTCAACTGTTTATATACAACAGTATAACAATGTGTGCAATTTATATTCTCCACCTATCTTTCCTACTTTGCAACAGCACCAAAAACTTGATCCTGAAGAAAATAAGAATTCTACCTTTTAATTTATATATATGTTGGGATATTACGCAAGTATATGTATCGTTATCAAGTAATATAGAACTGTTTTATTAAGCCTTGAATATCAAACCCACATGGATTGTTCACAATATGCATTTAGAACACTATAAATTATATTTCAAAAAGACAATTACTTAAACTAATACTTAAACTAAAGATATTATCACAGTAATTAAAGTTCAATTCTTTTTGGTATTTTTAATATTTTGACAAAACAATAACAACTTCTAAAGATAACTTTAGTTTTTGTAAGATACGAAGCACTGAATATAAAATATCTTTTTCCATATCATGAATCAGTAATAAGTATAAAAATTTTGTTGTGAAAGTATGCAAAATTGTGTTTTGTCAAATAGGAGCAAATTATTCTTTACCCTTATTAGAGATGCTATAAAGAATATTGGTTAATTTAAAGTTTGAATTGTTCTGAAGACCGGCTAGGCAGAGAAGATATCATCTCTCACTCTAGAGCTCCCTCAATTCCCTCCACCTGGGGCTAACATCACGTATCAAAACCTAAAACAATAAACCAAGTTGGGGGCTTTAACCTATCACTTTAATTCCTCTAACTCTATACCCTTCAACGATTATTTCCTTATTTATTGCACTCAATCATATGAATTACATTCACATTCATACAATCTCATGTGATTCTTTCTAATTGTTGACTGAGACAATACCATCCCGGTTCTTACATGTTTTCATAACAAATTTTAACTCCTCGATTGGTCAAATCAAGAAGTAAATGAAGTACATGGAGTTAAATCATCACAACTTCTTCCAACATTAAAGATCAATACTCTCCACAACTTCCATCTAATAGTTTATTTCTTTATCATTTTAAGGAAAAAGATAAATAAAACTACTCATAATTCATGGAGAAAACAAATCACGCTTTAGTTTAAAAGCAGAAATCATTGTCAAACTAATAAGAAATCTCCATTAAAACCAAATGTAGTAACAAAAAGATAGAAACTTATCTCAAATCCTCCACCAAACTCTTGAAGTTCTTTTGAATCTCTTCTCTTCTTACAATACTCTTAACTCTCAAAAACTAGAAACTAAAACTAAAATAACTATAGATATTGGCGTCTTACAGCCTCTCTCAGAAATCACAACAAAGAACCTAAAAGAAACACTTAAAAAGACTAGAAGCAGCCCTTGAGAAGTCTCAAACCTCTTTTTTTATAGTTTTCCAAGAGGTGTCTTGATATCTCTTCAAAATATATCCAAATTCAATGTATTCTCCAAAGGATGTCTCCTTTCACAAGTCTTTTAACCATATTTTCATATAGTGGTCATAACCACCCTCTTTAGCCAATAGGTGTCTCAAATGTCTCTTCGAAATTTGTTAAAATGAATTAACCCGTCAAGTAACTATCACTGGTGCTTAAGCACGGGGCCTTTGGCGTGTAGGCGCGGCCTTCTCAGTTTCACCGGCGCTTAGGCGCCAAAATACTTTGCACCATTTTTTTCATTTTTGCTCCATATTTAATCCTTTTTCACTCCTTTTGTCATTTTTCACCTTTTTAGCTGTACCTAAAGAAAAAACACACAAATATCTTTCATTAAAGCACAATATCTCAAAAATAAGTATAAAAATACTATATATTTTAGGCGTATCATTTGTCATCTTGAAACTTATTGTGCCACATACAAAACTTTATTTATTCAACATCCCTTGCCCTCTATCATTGTTGTGCATAAAGCATAATTCTATAGGCTCCAAATTAATCATGCCCACTTATCTTTGTTTTTCATCTCGAAACATATGGTGCCACATATAAAACTTTGCCTATTCAGCACCCCCTTGCCCTCTACCATTGTTGCGCCTAAAGCTTAATTCTATAGGCTCCAAATTAATCATGGGTGATCATATAAAGTGGTGTGCATTATTCTTTGGAATGTGTCACTCTATCTGACTCTAATTAAATAATGACAATCTGACCTTCTATATGTTTGTTGAAGTAGACATATATGAAACTTGTGTCTATATCTAATGCTTGTATCAATACCATATAGAATATAATAAACTAAAATTAGTATGATGAAGGTGTGAAGAAATGAATAACATAGAGAGAATGTGTTATAAAAATTTGTCTCTGTAGTAGAGCATCAATCTCATCTCTATAAACCAGAACATGCATCATCGGCTACTCAAAAACTATGTGCTCATTCAACCTACAATATATTAATAAAGTTAATTTTTATTATTTTGATGCTCATAATTACAATAAAAATATGAGTGATATTTATAAGTACATGTATAACTGACACTTTTAACGATATTGTCTCATCGGTACAATACATGTAAGGTGGGTCGCTCAATGTGAAACCTTTCCCAACACTAGATCTATAGTATATGTGGAAAATCTATCATCTTCACTTGGTTAAGCTTTGTTGCTTCTTTCAATTCCCTATATAAATTTCCTAAGACTTTTGCTTTGATGGAGTACTAAGAAAATGTCTCTAAATCCTCCATGACAAATAAATTTTGGAGATGAATATTCGAGCTAGATGTATCTAGTATGAGAAATGAACAAAACATGAATATCATATATGATCACATAAGTTTGAGGAAAGTAACCTTAGGTAAGTTCATATAAGACTCTTTTATATGCCTAATATATCTATTTAAGAGGTAGGTGTTTGTGCTCGTGCTTGCCCTATACAAAAATTAAATCTCTATTTTGGATCATCAGGATGGTGGTACAAAATATTGGGAATATGATGGCCATCAAATAAATAATCACAACAATCAGGCTAAGACACACATATCTTTATGGCGCCAATCATAATGTGACCAATAAGCACATGAACATCAACTCAAACCATTAATAAATTATCCACATTTCTATAATAATGATAATCTCCCCAATTAATAAGTAAAATTTGTTGGTCTGAGGCAATTATTGCTCAACAAAATATGTATGGAGGTGTTATCAAACTTGATTTTTTGTAGATGCCAATCACACTCTAGGCCTACCTCCCTTACACTCTCTATAAAATGCAAGCAATAGGTCAACACATGTGATCTTATATGTTCATATAAAATGCAAGCAATATATGTGTGAATTCACCATCATATGATCTTATATGTTCATAAATCAATTGATTTTGCATGTGATGCCCTCTTCATCACTTACAACAATAGAAAATGGTGAATTCACCGAACTTAGATAGTCCACATTCACACATATATTCATAATTAAAATCAATCTGAATGATGTAAACACATATATGAGATATTGGTATTAAATAGATATGAATATCTCATTTAAGAAAAAGTAAGATCACTATTTGTTTGTAACACGGGTTAAAAAAAAAGAATAAGTGAACTATGCACTATCAAATTTCTACCCCATCTTGAGTTCCAAACTAAATTATTAATTATCATTCTCTGTCAAGTTATTTTTAAGATTTATAAAATTTTTCATAAAATACTTCTTTGTACATTCAGTTCTTTATTCTTGTTTATTATAAATGTTCAACAAACTTGTTTAATCTCTTTCATGCCTTCACTATACATTAAAAGAAAGATGTTTGATTCTCCTTCGAAGATAAATTAATTATCATATAATTTTACAATTATTAAAGAATGCATTCTAATTCTGATAAAATCGTAATCAAATATCATCTGAATCATGTTAGAATCATATTCAAACAAGGCTATAAGTATATTTAAAGAGGACTTGTTTGAACAAGGTGCTAATCATATGGTTTAAATCAACATAAAGAATGTTTCTAACAAGATTTGAGCATGTTCAAATTATGTTGGAACTATCTTTGATCATAATTTGAAAACTATTTGAAACACTCTTCTATCTAGCTCTACATTAGAGTACCATCAAAATGGCATAATTTTTGCTGCATGATAAAAACATTAGAAAAATTGAGCCCGTGTTTGTTGAAGTTGCATATAGACTAATTTTCCGATTGCACTTCACTTGTACAATTGTCTTACCTTACTAAGCAAAGAAATCTTGAATGAAAGACAATGAAAGCAATGAGGAAAGCCAAAGAGTGGAAGGATAGAACATCCTTCTTCCTTAACAAGTGAAATATAAGTATATCAAGTTTTGTCCAAAACAAACTTTCGGGTTTATTTCCTTGAAATAAATAAACATAGAGCATATTTCTCCAAATACTATCATTATGTTGCAAACAAAGTCATATTTCTCTTGGAGACTTCTCATGGGCTTTATTTGGATGAAAAACTCCAGTG